TTTTATTAGTACATTCTAGGTAGACAGTACAGTTACATTCATTACTGGGATCTTGTACCTTTATATGACAGATCTTGGTTCTCATTTTTCCCCTTTCCCCTGCCCTCCCTTTACCCCCTCCTCCCTTCTCTATTTACAAAGACTTTGTTTCCCTTTTACCTATGTGTTTCCACTGCTTCTATTTAATCATGTATTTCTGGTTGATCAGAACTCAAACAGACCAATAGGTCCCTTTGCTGCTTCTTTGGTCTCTCAGGTGATCACAAATGTAAGCAGAAACAGAGAAGATAATCCAAAAGACAGTTTGCATGATCCATAGAATTTTGCAAAGAAACATGGTGGGAAGAGGTGGCTCTTTATTGACAAAGCACATCCTTAAGATTATTGGTAATCACTTAGCTTCTTGATTTTATTATTCCAGTTTAAGTTTAAATACTGTCAACTTAATAGTTACCCAAATGAGGAGAAACAGTAGAAGGCAAATTAATGCCTCAGACATTCTAGGTCAGAATTATCAAAGAGACAGTGACTGCAACATCTGACAATTGCGGAGAACAGCTAGTGTGGGTCCTTTTAATACAATGTGAATAATAAGGAAGAATTTTTGGAGTGGACTGAATTGGTATAACATTTAATAAACTCAACTTTTCTCTATTTTCTGTTCACCATATGTGCCATATTTTCAATTTGCACAAAATTCCACTAACCCTTAAATAATCCAGACCCAGTGACATAACATGATTATGTTTCTGTTAAAATTAATTAAATAGGCAAGCAAAATTCTAGCAGGTCTCTTTTTACTTTGGAAAGTAAAATAACTTCTCTAGGCCACTTACTCATATACATAGTTGGCAAAAGATTTCTCTTTTCAAAAATACTTATAATAATATACGTATTATGTAGAAATCATGTTTCTTGGATTCATGATAGTATAAGGTTTTTGTTTTACCTGTTTAATTATTTTAAACATTGTATTAGCATCAATAAGGTGCATTTACCATTCTCTTTACTTTTTCTCTAAGTAATTGGGTTTTGATGGCTGTATTTTTTTGTACTGATTTTTTGGCAAGATGAAAGGAAGTAAAATCAATACCTCCAACTTCGTCTACTTGGAAAAAAATAAGGAGTTAACAATTATCCGAAGAGCTTGTACTCTGCCAGGTGTTAATGACTCTTTTGTATATAAAGAAGTGAACCTTGGCCCAGATGCTCTAAAAATACTTCTCATTTTGCTAGGAAAAAATGACTTCTTTGAGTGACCCAATTAACCAATCATGTCTAACTGATTAGTCAGAGTCCTAATATTGAAGAGGAGAGATCCATGAGTAGGAACAAGAACCATCTGCAAAGTTTTCAGGAGAAAGTTGGACCTCATCTGATCTTTGAGATAAATTTCACCCTGGACAAGCATAAGGCCAACAAATATTGGAAAGAAGCCACGCTGTTCATGGGTCAGTAAAAACAACAACTCTGTTATCAAACAAAGAAACAGAAAGTAACATTAAAAGCTAATAAACAAAAATATTTCTTCTTGGATCCAGCAGAGGCCTCTTGGGAACAATGGGCACAGGTGACCTGGTTGCTAAGCAGTGGCCAGAAGGATGCACGTGCCATGGTGGCCTCTGGATTCCCACACTGTGCTTCTGAAGGGCCCTGGAGCAGCCCCAATTGAAAGGGGAATTGCACTGTTAGTATAAAATAAAGTTTCTGTTTGTTCAATTAAAACATATAAGTAAGCTAATACATAAAATCATCTCCTTCTAAATGTTTTATTTTTTTATTAACCTATAAGTTTTGTCTTTCGGTGACTGTTGCTGATTGTTGTCTCTGATTGTATAAGAAACGAAGAATGAAAGCCATTTGGAATTTGACAACCTGCTTCTTTACCTTATTTTTAAGGCAGGAGTGTGCTTGGGGGCTTTACATTTTTGGTGGCATACACTACACATTTATTACTCAGAGGTGATAGCTGTTTGGGGCAATGACTGAAAATACAGAATGAAACTCATATTGACTAGAAACCCAGGCCAGGCCCTCATCAGGGTACTGCCCGAGGGAGTTATTTTGTTGGTGTCCCAGCTTCCTCGGGTGCAAGAGGAAGACGATGGTGAGAATAGCAACAATACCTCTACCCCATAGGACTAAATGTGCGAATGTATCCGTTATTATATATCTGCTTCCTATACTTTGGATCTAAACTGTCCCCAAAGGCTCATGTGTTTAAAACTTGTCCCAGCCATCCCTCTGTTGGGTATCTTCCCAAAAGAATTAAAAGAATCATATCACAGTGATATATGCACACCCATGTTTGTAGTGGCACAGTTTGTAATAGCTAAAACTTGGAAACAGCCCTATCTGCCCATCAGTTGGAAACTGAATAAAGAAGATGTGGTTTTTCTATAAAATGGAATACTACTCAGCCATAAAGAATGAGAAAGTAGATTCATTCATAGGTAAATAGGTACATTTTGAGGATATACTCCTAAGTGAAATAAATAATTCACACATATGCAAATACTGAATAGTTTTTCTGGTGTGAAAAACTAAAATAGTACTCAAGATCCTAATGGGACAATTAGCAATATGAAATAGAAAGAAAAGGACCAGAGGTGTAGGGACAGTGAGAAGGATAGGGAAAGGGGAATAAGGGAAAAGGAAAAAATATGAGAAAATGTAAAAATGGAATTAAAGTGTTTGAAGGTGGGGAGGGGAGAAGGGGGTGAAGGGAGCGTGGGGACAAGGGGGAAAAAATGAGAACCAAGACCTGGCATGTAAAGGTACAAGATCCCAGTAATGAATGTAACTGTATTGTCTACCTAGAATGTACCAATAAATTCAATTTAAAAAAAATAAAAAAATAAAAAGGGGCTAGGTATATAGCTTATTGCAAAATCCTTGGGCTCAATTCCCAGCACCTACATTTCCCAAAAAATCAACATTGTGCCTCTTTTAAGTTGGCAGTTTCTTGAGGGTGCATGATCCACAATCCTAAGTGGTATGGTTTGAAGATTTCTCTCAAAATTTGTGGGTTGGCAACTTAATCTGCAATGAACAATGTTAAAAGGCAAGACTGTTATGAGGCAATGAGATCATGATGATGCTGCCTTCATGAATTAATTGTTGTCATTACGAAAGTGGGCTAGTTACCATGAGAGTGGGTTGCACAAAAGCAACTTTAGCTTCCTCTTGCTCACTTGTTCTCTCTTTCTCTCCCCCTCACCCCTCTCTCCTTTTTTCCTTCCACCATGGATCATGCAGCAAGAAGATCCCCAGATATGACCTCCTCAACTTAAGACTTCCCAGCTTCTACAACTATAAGAAATAAATTTCACTTCTTTATAAATTAAAAAACAAAAACAAAAAACTTGTCCCCAGCAAGGTGCTATTGGGAGCTGGTAGGACCTTCAGGAGTCAGAGCCTAATGGGAAGATTTAGGTTATTGAGTGTTTTTTCCTTGAATGGGATGTGGGGCTCCCTGCAACCTTCTTTCTCTGTCTTCTTTCTGCTTTTCCAATTTGGTAAGGAGTTTGGCTCAACCTCATACTTTTGTCATGAAGAGCTGCCTTGCCAAGGGCCCAGAGAATGAGGAACCAACTGTGGACGAAACGTCCAAAACTCTGAGCCCAAGTAAACCTTTGCTCTTCATAAATTAATTAATTCGGCTGTTTGTTACAGTGGTGGAAGCTGATTAACACCAGTTGCTAGAATGGTGTTTGCAACAACTTGAAACCGCAACATAAAGGGAAATAAATCAGATACATAAGCTTAAATATCACATAATTTCTTTTGTATTAGAAACCTAAACTATAAATAATCAAGAAAATAAAAATAAAAATTGGAAAATAAGAAATGGGACATAGATCTTTTGCAAATGCAAAAGGGATCTAGAGATTGAGAGAGAGAAGAGAGATGGGAAGGAAAGGGGAATAAAAAGAGTTAAGATGTGTTAAGCACATGTCCCTATTCCCTTTAAATATTATGTATTATAAACGTACTAAAATAGGTAAAAGCATAAAAACTAAAAAAAGAATAGTGTTCGGCAAAGAAGAGGCAATTAAAAGACATTAAATCTGATTATTTATAGTGGCAAAGATGTCCCTAACATAACCAATTGTTTAATACTTGTACATCTACAAAGAACACTACAAATTCTAGGTATTTGATGAAAAAATTTTGATTTACTGAGCCAAAATAGAAAGGAATTCTAGTTTTTGCTCCAAAAAGGGATATGGTGGAAATGATAATTTAGTAAGATTTGTTTGATTTCTTTTTTTCTGTTTTTTATCACTGTGTACATTTTACCTGAACAACCTTATCTATCCCTATGACTTCACTTATATAACCTGATTCTTGACTGTTGACATTCAAATACAAATCTCCAAATCTGACCCTTTTCTGCAGCTCCTAACCTGTGTAACCAATGGGCTACTGGAAATCTTTTATTCCTTTAGGGAACTCAGTTGCAGGTTTTTAATCTTTATTTTTTTTTTTAGTACATGTTTGCTCTATATAATGATTTCAGTCATTGCTGGTAATGTACACAACACATCTCTTCCTGTTTCCTTCTCCTCCAGTCTCTCTTTTTCCTCCCTTCTCCCTCCATCTCTCAGCTCTTGCCCAAATCTGTCACACTGATAATCCTAATGCACTGCTTTCCATAATGTGGTCTTCCACCAGAGGCACCAGCACCCCCTGACATGTTGCATGTGGCAAATTTTGGACCCTGCCCCCGATGAGTTGAGTCAGAGAGGAATTGATTAATTTACTAAATTTTAAAAGTGTATCTCCTCATTCATTTTTTTAGATTGGTTTTGCCCATTTAAAAAAAAATCAACACACAGCATCTAATACTTGCTTTCTGATGTGTTATTTTCTTCTCTCATGATCGGCTATATTTTTGAGAATCTTTATGAACGCAATAATTGATTTGTTTTTTCAGTTCTTTTATTACTATAACAACCAGCCTTTCTCTCAAAAGAATTTCAAAGAATGTAGAAAGCATCTCTTCAGAATGGACAGAGGAGCACATTTAGCCCTCATTCGGGTATTGCTGAAACAGTACGTGAAGTGACTATTTTCTAGATAAAGTAAGTAGCAATTTGTTTTTGGCATATTAAAGTGAACATTTCCATTGTTAAACCTGTATTTTATAAAATAACCAATCTGTGTTTAAAAGAACCCTGCAGGTGACTCCAGGGTGACATAATTTAAAATAATTGGTCTAAACCAAGGCCTACCCTTTCCTCTAGATCTATTTTGTGGCTCCCTCATCATTTTCATGAGGAGTTCAGTGTTTTTCAGGTAAAAAAAAATTACTCCCGGGAGCTAGGAAAGCATAAGCGGAAAAGGACAATGAACAAGACTAGGGCCACTTACCTGGTGACTAAAGAAATAGTACAGATGAAGGCCTTTCCTGGGCGAGGGTTGTGGGTCTCAGGTTAGAGACTGTTTTTTCTAGTTTGTTCTCTCTGTCTCTGCCTCTGTCCCTGTCTTTGCCTCTCCCCGCAGCCTCTTGTTCTTAATGAGCTTCAATATTTCAGTGGAATTTCAAAGAAATAATAATTACATCATTATGACCATAAATCTTCTCATGAGGTTGTAAAAGTCCATAAAAATAACCCGCAGTCTCTAAACATTTGCTGGAAGGGGCAGATGGGGAGGGCGTTTGTGTAATCAAGAAAACTGTATCTTTGGGATGTTTTTCTAACTATATTTTAATGTAGTTGAAAACAGTTTTGAAGTTAACTGAAGAATTAGATTATAAGGCAAAATTAGCCTTTAAAATATTTTTGTTTTTCACACTTCTAACTTAAAAAAAATGTTACAGACCTCTGGAGGATCCTATTTTCTGATTATTGATCCTTTTAGATGTTGATCTATTGGCCAATGATTTTCTCTTTGCAACAGAAATAGAACTGAAAAATGTCTTTTTTTAATGCAAATTTTAGTGAGGACCAAGGAAGTATCTTTGAAGAACACAACACAGACTATAGATAATAATAATTTAAACCAAATTATACTTTATCTTCCATTAAGCAGAGAGAAATAACTGAAGGTAAGTCATTATAAAAGTAATTTACTATACTTAATTTTCCAAAAGCATTAATGCCAATACATTTAGAAAGCTTCCTAGAAACTGTAAAACTAGTTGTTTCAGTCCTCCTTTCTTTCTTTAGTTTTCTAAGTTGATTGTCTTTACTATTACTCATTTATTTTTCTTGGTATTAGCCATAAAAACTGAAGAGTGTTGCTGCTCTAGATGAAGTCATCATGTAAGAGAGAAATGAGACTCTAAAATAGTAAGTACAACATAGAAGTGATATTATAAGAGTAGACTCAGGTTACTGTGGCAGGAAGCACTGGCAGAGGTCACAATGGGCTCAAATAGCTTTTGATGCTGTGGTAGAGAAAGCTCACGATGTCCTACCATCAAATGATGTGCACCTTCATCCAAAAATACAATCAGGTGAGAGAGGATAACCAGGAATTTCATGGAAATCAGCTGTAATAATAAATACTAATACAAATAAATGGTATAAATGAGAAAAAGTATAAATAATAGAAAAAAGAGATAATAGAAAGGAAATAGTTTTGTTCTTTGCATCTTACATTCAGAATGACTGGGGGGAAATATGATGTTCTTAAAATATGGATGTAGTACTGTGACAAAAGGCACATTTAGAAAAAAGCATTCTTAAAAAGTAAAATATGATAATAAGAGAAAAACTTAATAGGATTGCCAGATGAAATAGGAAGATGAAGAAAGGGAAATTTGAGAAAATGTGAGATCGAAAGACTAATTCAGGTAAGCACTCATTTCAAAATAAAAATGTTTTACCTTTAACTCAGGGATTGATTAAGCAGTTGAATTATCTCATTCGTGTAGTAAAGGTGGCTAACTTTTCTTGCCTTAAGAGAAACAAATGGTATATTGCTGTATGAGTATTTCTTAGTGCAGTAGCTACTCATGTTCAAATTTGGACCTAATGCTTCTTTGTTAGCTGAGTAGTAGACACCCCATAATTCCTCTGTACTCCTGAACTGCTCCACCACTGGTAGGAGTGCAGACTGGCTCAACTACTGTGGAAATCGATATGGAGATACCTCAAAGAACTAGGATTAGAAGCACCATTTGACCCAGTTATTCCTCTTCTGTGTATCTTGCCAGAAGAATTAAAAATATCATACCACAGTGATATATGCTCACCCATGTTTATAGTGGAACAATAGCTAAAATGTGAAAACAGCCCAAATGCCCATCAACTGATGACTAGATAAAGAAGATGTGTTTTTTAAAAATAAAATGCAGTACTAGTCAGCCATTAAAAATGATAAAATAGAGGCATTTATAAGTAAATGGATGCACATTGAGACCATACAATTAAGTGAAGTAAATGTGCCATACGTGTAAATATAGAATAGCTTCTATGGTGTAAGAAACTATGGTGTAAATGAGGGCCAAAATGTGTAATAGATACTGTAAAATGGGAAAAAAAGATCCTAAAGGGAAGGGGAAGTAGAAATGGGGTGGGGGAAAGGAAATAAGGGAAGAAAAAATATAAAAAAGGAAGGAAAGACAGAAACAGTCTTTGTAAATAGGGAGGGTGGAAGGGGTGGTAGGGAAGGAAGGGGAATGGGGAAAAAACAAGAATCTAAATACATCATGCACAGGTACAAATTCTAAATGTTGAATGTGATCATAATATATACCTAAAATGTAGAGATGAACTTAATGGAATAAAAAAAAACCAAAAATATAAAAAGAAAAACAAATGAGTGGGGAGGTAGGGGAGAGGAAGATGAATAAAAAAGAATTAAGATATGTTAAGTACATGTCCCTTACCCCCTAAAATGAATATAAACATTGTGTACTGAAAACATGCACTAATAAAAAATTAAATTATAAAAGAAAAACAAATGATGGACTTGTGGTAGAGCTCAGTGGTAGAATCCTTGATTGGCATAAAAAGTCCTGGTTCCGGTCTCCAGCACTGAGAAAAGAAAAACCCTGAAAAATATTAAATGAATTATAACAAATATGAAGCAAACAAAAATTTGCCATGCTTTGCAGGAATATGAATTTATGTGTGGTTAAAAAGAACACATGGTGAAAGAGAAAAGTTTCATTTTATTCTTTTCTCTCTTTGTTTTTTGTTTGTTTGTTTTTGAGACAGGGTCTTGCTATGAACTTCAGGTTGGCCTTAAACTCACCATGTAGCCTAGCTGGTCTTGAACTCATAGCAATTCTGCTTTAGTCATTTTCATTGTTTTTTAAATATGTCTGATTTGAGCAGCACATATTTAGAGAAATGGAATTTGTTTGCTCTCCAATCATACTACTTTTAAAGTAAATAATACATTTGCAATGATAACAGTCTATGAGCTGCTTATGATTTCTAAGTGTTTTGCAACTCTAAAAATTCTTAATTTTTTATTTTATGAAAAAATGAAACAAATTTTATAACAAAGCAATGAGAATGACAGTAGTTACTATACTGTGTATCATTATTTTCAAAGTAATTATTCAGAATACAAAACAAAAAGATTCTCATGAAGAAGAAACAAAATAATGCAAAACTTTCTTTTAAATGAACTAAGATAACTAGTAGTATAAATGAAACAAATTAGTATATATTAAAATGTTTTTGAAACAGTGGAATAAGTAATTTGGGGAGATATCTTGTGAGTCTGATTTTATTGAATGTTGTTTCTCTTGTTCCTCCTTGCTTTCTCCTCCTCCTACCTCTTCCTCCTTCCTTTTTTCCTTCTATAATCATTTCTTGTTTGCTTGATGTCTAGTTGTTATGACCTGAGTGCTAGAATACTGTTTATGAAAATTTGGGGAATTTATTTGAGTTTTAGGATGATGTTATGTTCTCTTAGATGGAATTTTTATGTGCTTTTGAGGGACTGGAATGTTCACAGTGCTGGGCTCAATTTCATTGTTTCTGATTCACCGTTTTTCCTGGTCTCAGTGGTTTTTCAAGACCCAATCAGCTTGCAAAACCTGAGCTCTAGTTTTTACCCCATTGTTTCTTAATACTTGAAAATCTAATTCATCTTCTCAGCAACCTATGCTTGAATTAGAGGTGACTGCCAAAGGTAAAGCAGCTCCAAATTCACTTATTGAGTCTAAATTACCTAGCATGCCATTATTGGAAGCAGAATTTCCTTTTATGATTTTTCATTAAGAGAAAAGTAGAGTACACAAAGGATAAAAACTTAAATATTTCTTCAATACAAATAATTAAGTTTGATAATGTGGAAATAATGGTTTCCTGTGAAAGAAAGTTGGAGAAAGAAAGATAAATGGGTAATTAAGAGTCTTTTTTTTTTCTCCACGGGGTAGAGAAAAAGGTGATCATCCTAAGTAAAGTGGATGGTTTGAAAAAAGACAGACACACATGGCACGACCTGTTTCAGGAATGCTGAGATACTCTGGATAGTAGAGCATTCAGGTGAGGCAGGAGTGGCAGGAATGATGTACATCAGTGAGATTGAGGTCTGAGCAGAAATGGTGCTGGAAGGTCTGCAGTTTCCATGAGAGCTTTTTCATTTGTGAATCTGTGAGGTGGGTCCATTGCACCTAAAGTGGGATAGCAATAGCAAAGTAATCTCAAGAGGAGGACACAGTACAAAATAAAATAGACTTAACAGGAAAAATCTATAAAATACAGAAACAACCTCCTTGACTGTTCCATCTATTATGCCTATTTTCAGGGAGTGATGGACATATATGGAGAATATTTAAATTAAAGAAGCAGTACAAGTAAAAGACACATTTCCAAGAACACTGCGTAAGTGTATTTGAAGTGAAGAGGGGAAGTATTTTGAAAGGGATTAATGGTGATGGCTTTTTAGTGGAATAAATTATTTAAAAATTTAAAGATTCATTGTATGTTTAGATCACACCTCATATGTGGTAGAGGAAATCTACAGATATTTGTTGACTACTTTGACATGCTAGCACCATGAATAGATTCCATAAGACCATTTATTGGAAACTCTTTTCATATAGCAAGGTTTCCAAAAGAAAAAAGCCTTTGACATTTATTGGGTCTTAAATGTGTTGTAAAATATTGGCCTTATTCTCATGCAGCTCAGACTATCATTCTTGGCATTTTCAAAGGTAGTGTACAGGTCATTTGAACTTTATACATGATACAAAAATATCTACACCACATTAGCCAAAAATAATAGCATTTTAATGGGGTTGATCCGATGTCCCTAATACCCATAATGTGCATTTAGATAGTGGTAAATTCTACTCCAGTCTAATAGTGTCTGTGGGTTATGAGAAGCTTCAAGTGTTCTTTATTCTCTGGAGAAATATTAATAAAAAAGACTCCCTCTATATGAAGGGTTTACATTGCTAACAGTTTCTGTAATATATAAGAAAAGTTCACAACACCATAAATGTAAAAGATACGTGTTTTGCCTTTCATGTTTTGAAAAGGCCAGAGGCAGAGGTAGGGCTTCTTTTCTTGATGTATAATTAAAATAGATGCATGGTTTTACTTTCTTATCTAAACAGTTGAGAGCTCAAAGGCCAATAAGTAAAGATATCAAGAATCCAAAGTAAGACAAAGCAAGGGCACAGATATTAGCCAAGTTGCACTACAAATGTGGATACCACACTCTTACAAAAGCCGCTGGTTGTCTTTGGGGAGTTGGGCTAACTGCCTCCCAGGTTCATGCACAACAATCATTCCAGAGCAGGGGGCAATTGAGAATATTTCTGGGCACACACTAAATATCACATCTAATTAGGGACCAAAATATGTGATCATATCTTACCTCTTACATCTTTCATCTTATTATGCGTTAAATTGAATGCCCCCTCCCAAGTGTGAAATTTTACCCCTAAAGCCTCAGCATTTGATCTTGGATGGAAATCGGGTAATTGCTCATGCAAATACTTAAAATGAGGTTACACCAGAGCAGGTTGGACTCTTAATTCAATGTGGTGGGCGTTCTTACAAGAAGATAGCTGTGAAGACACAAAGACCTGGAGAAATTGTCGTGTGAAGACAGAGGTAGAGATTGGAGTGATGCTGCTACTATCCAGAGAGGGCCTGAGGCTACCAGAAGACAGAGGAGACATAAAGGATCCTCCCCTAAAAGCATCAGAGAGTATGTCCAGGTCTATACTATGAGTTTGAAATTCCAGGCTTCAGAAGTATAAAAGAAGAGATCTATTGTTTTCAATCACCTAGTTTGTTGTACTTTGTTAAACATTCCTAGGAAATGAATATACTCCTGATCCCTAAATTAGGTGAAATGGAACATAAAATTAACCTCTTGGCTAAATTCAGTAATCAGTTAAAGTAACTCTTTATATTTTGGCTTCGTTATCTGTCAAATAGTCTCCCCTCCCAGAACTTGTCTTTAATAAATACATAATCTTTTATTTTGTGAGCATAGTAACTTAATTTATAATTGGTTAGATATTTAACTCACTTATAGTTTGCCCTCCTTTCTTGTCTTCTAAATTGAATTACACTGAACATCTCAGTATGTACATATTTGTTGACTTCTTTGACTAGTACTTAAGAAAAATATGTAGAAAAGGAATTATTGGCTCAAAGAAGATGTATTTACTTTTACTTTTTCAAAGGGTAGCTTTTAAAAATATTTCTGGATATGTTAGCAAATTGTTCCCCTTAAATGTTGTAGCAATTTATCTCTTGCACCTAACATATAAAAGAGGATTTTTTTCAGAGCTGAATACGAGCAACAGAGTAGATCTCATGTGTTGTAAACATGCACACAGTCACGTACACACACACACACACACACACACACACACACAGATGATAACTATGTAAGAAGGTAGGTATGTTAATTATTTCGATTGAAGTAATTATTTCACATTGTATACATGTATCAAAATATTACATTACCACAAAATGTCACTTTTATTTGCCAAAACTAGGATGGGAGCATTCTAGGCTAATTTGACTTGTAGTTTTCATTACCTAGAGTACTGAATTATAATCTACATAAATGTTTATTAACTCTTTTATGATACTTCTGCTATTGTTCATTACTTTTTCTTAAGTAGGTTAGGTCTTGCAATAAAATATAGTTGTGCCTTATGTACGAAGTATCTTGACATCTTTCAGTGTACTCCTTTGTACTATGAGAGTAAAGATAAGTATCCTTTAGTGTTGCAGCCAGAGCAAGATGCTTGTATGCTGAATTTACTACATACTCAGGACCTAATACATCTTTAATGGAAACAATATTATAGTTTCATGGAGGCTAAAATCAAATGGTCTGTATTCTCCCTTGCTATTCTCTTGGGTTTTGTGGCATAGTTATGTTGACTTTTCAAACAAACCATGTTCTCATTTGTGTAGACATCTTGACCTTTTTTCTTTTACACTGTCTACATGCTTTGTTCCGAGTGAACAAAGATGAGAGAGTGAGCTGGGTTGGAGGCTCAGCATCTGGCAATGCAGAAGTAAGAGAGTGTGTGTGCCGGGGTAAGGACAGGGGCTCTGCTTTCAGACCGCTGGGCTTACAGGTGTGTCCATGTGTTGACAAGCAGGAGTCTTCTATTCCTCAGTTTCCCATATGGTTTAGTCTCTTCATTACCTATCGCGTACATCCGTTACCCTAAATCTAGCTTCTTAAAACAATAATAAACGTTTATTTTCTCACATAAGTCGGGAATTAAGGCGTGGGGTCAGCCCTTTAGGAGGCAGTGGCTGAGAACTCCTCGAGTGGTACTCATCTAAAGCTTGATCAGGGTGGGCGGGGCCATTTTCAAAACATTCACTTCCAAGGCTGGAAAGCCAGCAGTAAGTCCTGGCGGGAGGCCCAAGTTCATTCCCACTTGAGTTCTAACCGGCCTCCAAGTAATCTAGAAGAGAAAGCAAAAAGGAGTTGCACTGTCCTTTTGACCAAATTTCCAGAGTGTCACGCCATCATTTCTACCCTTTTCCAATCATTAAAAACAAGTCATTAATTGAGACTTCCACTCAAGGGAAGGGAAAGTAATTTCAATTTTTTTTTCTCATTGAGTTTATTGGTGCATTTTAGGTATATAGTACAGTTACCTTCTTCATTGGGATCTTGTACATTTACATGACAGGCCTTAGTTCTCATTTTTCCCCATACCCGTGGCGCTCCCTTCACCCCCTCCTCCCTTTCCTACTTACAAATATTTTATTTCCATTTTTTCATTTTCTGATATATTTTCTTTTCGCTTATTTCCTTTCCCCTACCCTTCCCACTTCCCCTACACCTTTAGCCCTTTTCTTCCTATTTCACACTGTCAATTACACCATTAGGATCTTATTTATGATTATAGTTTTTCACCCACTTCCCACACCTTTAGCCCTTTTCTTCCTATTTCACACTGTCAATTACACCATTAGGATCTTATTTATGATTATAGTTTTTCACACCAGAGAAACTATTTAGTTTCAATCTTTTGAAGAGATGAGTGCTAAGGAATTTGTAGACTTATTTTCAAATGATTGCATGATATAATTCATGCTAGAGCCTTAGCGGAAATAGCCTATTGGAAGAAGTCAAAGATTCCAGCCACTGTAACATCACAACATCATTACCCATGGTGCTATTATTAAGGGACTTCAAATGGTGCCATAGTGGTCGCTCTGGAGAAGTATCAGATATGGTCAAAATTAAGGCTGTGAAATAAAGAGGAGCTAGATCAAAAGGAGTCCAGCATGGCACAGCAGAGAGCTACATTGTTTCCAGAAAGTTCTTGCTTTTCAAACAGAATTGGTCCTAGGGCACATAGCACAGGGAACAAGTGCTCTTAAGGCAACAGGGTAAACACACATCCTCTGCTTTATTTGTAAAAAAAAAAGAAGTAAACATGTTAGAATGTAGATTACAAGGTTGCTTAGATCTTAAAGATGAAGCATTAGAATCCAATACAATATTGGTCTTCGGTGGGCTGCTTTGGTCTGTACCCCCTTGATCTTGGGTAAATAACTAACTTTCCTCTCCATTTGAGGATAAATTCTCTTTTATTTTCATTAGTGGAGAAATTCGGTGACCCAGTTAGTTGCTGAAGTATTGAAGGTTTTGAGGCTGTTAAGAATTTGATACTTAAAAAAAATACCTCAGCCAAAAATATGGAAGATATTCCTTGTGTAAGAAGATTGATAAATATTCAAGTTTACTTGTAGTAAAGTCATTATACAGACCTCATAATTAAGTCCTGTAAAAAGTTAAGATTAGAATAAAAAAATCTTTTTATGAGTTGTTATGTTAGAAATAGATGTTGGCATACACTTGAAAAATCAAATATACTATTACTACAGAGATTTGATTAATCAATGAATGATGGAATGCTTTTAATGCATGTCATGGGAAAATTTGGCTCTTTGTGGTAAAACACCCATCCCTAGCCCCACCTTACATTTCTGAACAAGCTAAATTCCAGATAGATTTGATAAGTGCAAATGTAAAATCAAAGGAAACTTAATTAGATATGTATTTACTTGCTGTCTGCATTGGAGAAATGTCTAAATATAAGAGAAGGATTCTCCAGGGAAGAGTACAATAGATGTATCTAAGTAACTGTATACTTCTGTATAACACATTTAAAAGTTTAAAACCAACCACAAATACTAATAGGTAACACTGATTGCCTTGCAGCTGTGTGCCAAGCACTATATTTGGAATTATGCCTTCTTTACTTACCCTTAATCCCTATAGAAAACACAAGAGTTTAGGATTATTACCTCCACTTAACAAATGAGGAAACTGAGACTCAAGATTACATCAGCCACTT